CGGCGGGCCGGGCTTCACCTACCAGCGCGTCGACGACGACAACGGCAGCACGGAGATGAAGGACTTCTCGCCGGAGAACAAGATCCCCTGGATGAACAAGCGAGCGCCCGTGGTACGCACCGCGCACTTCTGTGGTCGGTCCCACTGTGGCGTCGAACTTATGTCTCGTCTGTCCGTATGTGATTGGCGCATCAGCAACCGCCACTGGTGGTGAAGATCTGCCTGTGGGTCGTGCAGGTGGGCTTGGCGGTGGCCATCATCGGCCTCTGGATCGCCACCGCCGTCGGCATTGGCGAGAAGGTACGCCGTCGATGGCACCGAGAATTACTCCAGAAGCGAAGTGATGATCGTGCAACTTGTTTTCTTCCTCACCTAACCTTCATCATCCTCTTCTTCTTCTTCATCTTCTTCTTCACACATCAGGACATCAACGACCCGAACGACAGCTACGATTCGACATGCGCCATCGGCACCAAGTTCCAGTAGTCGAGTTCGAGCGCAGCATGTTGTACAGCCCTTCCCCAAAACAAATATTGAACAAACCGTGTTTCATTGATATTACAGCATTGTACGTCTTTTTTAATGTTGCAATGCAACTCAACAACCTTCGTTACTAAGCATTGCCAAATCCATTTTAAGCCCCACTTACCTAAGGTGGCCAAAGACCGCACGAGTGAAGAAACGCAAGGATGCGGGCTTCTTTTTCTTTTCAGAGATGCACAACCGCGAAGGCGGATTCTTGGCCCTTGCGGGCTTGGCCTGCCTCTTTGTGTTGTGCCTGCACCTTCCCCTGGTGTCGGGTACTTTTCCCAACATACACACGCACACTTGTTCTCCCCATTTTGTTTTTTTCTCACCTTCACCTTGGGTGATCTATGCAAGCCGGCAGCTTCACCCTGTGGGGCGAGAGCGACTTCGACTCTTGCAGACTGCTCGTGGGCACTGTAAGTGAGGTCGAGTACGACTACAGGTGGGCGAACCTCTGCACCCATTTTCTTTTTTCTTCCCCTAAAACCTTGCCCTTTGTTGCCCTGTGGCGCTGCCAGGCTGTATTGGACCGTCAACAGCACCGCAGGCACCATCGTCATCGGCCTGGCCGCCAAGGTGAGCCACCCCACTCCCACACGCCCCTCGCGCCCTTCTCTTTACACGTGTGCAGGCCAACAACTCTGGCTCACGCATTCACGCGGCTTCACAGGCTCCTGGGTGGATGGGCTTGGGCCTTTCGTCCAACGGCAATATGAACAGTGGTACGTCCAGTTCCGCGTCCATACACGATGCACCGCACCACACAACTCGCACGACAAACTCACAATACGCAACGCAACGCAGGAGGAACGTCTGATGATGCATCCGACATTTGGGTGGGTTGGGTGGGCGGAGCGGTCGGGGCCTGCGCCGATGGCTGCGTTGCTGACTACACCGCCAGCGCCAGGAGCCAGTGCGTCCGCCCGCTTTTACTACTTGCTCGGGCCGCTCTCTCTTGCAAGTGCACTCACTCACACCGCGCATGTGCGACATGAACCCACCACAGGCCTGTGCTGGACTCCACAGGAAATCTGGAATCCCTTGGGTTTGGCCAGGTACACGCACTTACCCTGTCTCGCCGTTCACACCACCTTGTGTGTGTCGTGTATGTCGTGTGTGTATGTGTCGTGTTTCGTGTGTGTGTGTGTCATGTGTGTCATGGTGTGTCGTGTGTGTGTGTGTGTCGTGTACTCACATCATCATGCTCTGATAGGTGGATGGCTACACGTGGCTCAAGTATCGCCGTTTGCTGGTGAGCACTGACTCAGCCGATCGAGCCATCACACCCGACGAGCCCCAGTGGGTCATCCACGCCCTCGGCCCCGGGGTACGCACGCACCATTTTATTTTTTATATAACCCGCTGCTCATCGTTCCCCCCAATCCATACACGCAGCTTCCGCGGAGCTTCACCAACTTCGCTCCGGAGGGAGGCACCCGGAAGCACATGAACCAGACCAACGCGGCCGATTTGGTCCAGTTTGGCGAGCACCAATGTACGTCCAGGCCTCGTGTGGTGTCTTTAAAGTGTGCGACGCGCGCGCGTGTGAGGTGAGCTCTGTCATCACCATCATCACCTCTACTCGCCCCTTAGGGACATGCGAACCAACCACCCCGGTCGCCAACGCCTCCAACCAGACCAGCACCGGTTCCTACAGGAACCCAGCCGACACCTGGCGGGTCAGCTGGGCGGTTATCGAATCCGGCACCGGTCCTTACCCTTACTCGCCCCCGGCATCGTCATGTCCCTTCTCACCCCCATGTTGTTGTGTGTGTGTGCCATGTGTGTCGTGTCGTGTCGTGTCGTGTCGTGTCATTTCGTAGAGGTGGAGTTCAACATTTCAGCGCGCACGAGCTCGTGGTGGGCTCTCGGCATCAACACGGACGATCTGATGATCGGCGCCGACATCATATGGTGCTCCACCAGGTTGGTTTAGCCCTCTTTGCTTTGTGGATCATCAACATTCGTCGCGAAAAAGACTCGGGCCATGCACCATTAGCTAAACGGCGGCGCACGACACGCGGCGCACCACACACCACATCGGCAGTGGCGGCAATTATGTGGTGGTCGACAGGAAAGCCAATGCGCACGAGACGCCCCCAGCCGACGCGAGCCAAGACGTCGAGTTAGTCTCGGGCGATTGTAAGCTCTCTACATTTTTTTAGTTTTTATCTTTTTTGGTCAAAATTGTCATCATTTTACGTATTATTGATTTATCTATGAATTGACGCAGTCGTGGACGGCTGGTCGACCTGCCGCGTGCGCCGCCCGATCGACACCGGCGACTCGACTCAAGATCACGTCATCCGAAACAGCTCAATGGTGCGCTCGTGTGCAGTGTGCGCGTTAATTACCAATTGGGCGCTCACAAGGCACGCGTGTGGTGACGCCTTGTCCAGAACCTGTTGTGGGCCTACGGCGCGAGCCTGGCCAAGCGTAGCTGTACCGGATTCTGCCAGCACAACTCCGACGCGGTACCGCACGCGCGCACCTTTGCGCTGGACCCCAGACCACTCATTCGTCGCGCGTGTCGTGCGTATTTGAGCGCAGAGAGGACTGGCGTCGGTCAACTTCTTCACGGGATCGGCGACCGAAGTCAAGCAGACTGACGACAGGCGCAAGGCGCACGGCATCCTCATGCTCTTCGCCTGGGGCCTGCTCGCCGTGGCCGGCGCCTTCATCTCCAGGTGAGACGCCTTCACCACCTCTCCCGCCTCTTTCTTTGCCAAAATTCCTTCTCACATCCCACGCACGCGACGCACGCGAAACACACGACACACACCACGCACGACACGCACGACACACACGATGGCAGGTATTGCAAGACGCCACAGGGCAAGTGGGTGCTGTACGGCTACGTGTGGGTGCACCTGCACGGCTTCCTCGGCATCCTCACCTTCGCCATCAACCTAATCGCCTTCGCCCTCATCGTGGACTGGGTCAGCGATAGAGGGATCAGCCACTTCAAAGGAGGTGCGGTGCCGCCGCTGCTCGCTCACAACGCATTCGAGCGACACACACACCCGCTCACGCTCACCATCGCACGCGCGCACCACCGCACCCGCGCACGCCCGCACCCGCGCACCCGCGCATACCACCGACTGACATTGTGCGTGTCGGTGTAGCGCATGAGATCATCGGCATCATCATGTTCATCTGCTCCTTCTTCCTGCCAATCTTTGGTGTCGTGGGCGAGCTGTTCCTCAAGAAATGTACCTACCCCTAAGACACCGTGTCGTGTGTATGGTGTGTCGTGTGTGTGTGGTGTGTGTCGTGTGTGTGTGCTGACGGTCTACATTTGATCGCGACTGCGGAATGGACAGACCACGACCCCAACTGGGTGGGCTACCTGATCGGCACGGCGCACGGGTGGTTCGGCAAGGCGCTCGTGCTGCTGGGCCTGGTCGAGATCTACCTGGGCCTCGCCCTCTACTGCGTGCCCACCTATACAATGGTACTCGGCTGTGCACACGCTCGCTCACAACACGTGCGCTGACCAAACCGCACACACGACACACGCACACACGGCACACACGGCACACACTACACACACATGGTGCGCAGGTGACGTACGGAGTGGCCGTGGGAAGCATGATCGCGCTGTTCCTGGTGCACGAGGTGCTGCGGTGGTTCGCGCCGTGGGGCTCGTGGCTCGGCGGGCCGGGCTTCACCTACCAGCGCGTCGACGACGACAACGGCAGCACGGAGATGAAGGACTTCTCGCCGGAGAACAAGATCCCCTGGATGAACAAGCGAGCGCCTGTGGTACGCACCGACCGCACACGCGCATGTACCGACCGCACACGCACGCACGTATGGGAGGCTGATGACGCGTATGTGGTGGCGTGTGGTGTTTTGGTTCATTAGCAACCGCCGCTGGTGGTGAAGATCTGTTTGTGGCTTCTGCAAGTGGGCTTGGCGGTGGTCATCATCGGCCTCTGGGTCGCCACCGCCGTTGGCATCGGAGACAAGGTACGACGGCGTCGCCGTGGGTCAATCCACCGCGTGTTGTTGTGGGCACCACTTGCTCACAATTTCTTCTTTTCTTCTTTTTCTCTTCACAGGACATCAGCCGCACGGACAGCTTCGAGTCCAGCTGCACCATCGGCACCAAGTTCCAGTAGTGTGGCCCTGACAGGGCTGCTCTGCTCCGCTCCTCTTCCTTTCTCTTCTCTCTTTCTATTTGAAAAGTGTTTGTTTAGGTTTTTTCTTCTGTGGCACAAGCTTGAGAGATTGAGGCGCGTGGGTGGTGTTACATGGGCTGGCTGGCATGGGGTTTTAGGGCCAAACGGATCAGTCGATCGGGCGGCCGGGCGTGATGGGCCGCAGGGCGGCGGGGGACGTGGTGGTGTTGACGGCGGCGAGCGAGGGCAGGGGCGGTACGGGCGGCGGCCCTCCGCCAGCCGGCGCCTTGCCGGGCTGCGGCCGAAGCGGCGCCAGGAAATTGCCGGCGGGCGGGGGCGACGGCGGCGGCGGTCGTGGGCGCGGCCGGCGGTGGTGCAGTGGGGCGAGGCCGTGAGGGCGTCGGGCGATGGCGTCGCGAGCCGCCGGTCGGCCCCGACGGCGAGGTGGGCGACGTGGGCGAGAGCGGGCCTGCAGCTGCGGCCGAGCGCGGGGACACCGGCGGTATGGCGATCGGCTGCACGACGATGCCCGGCTGGGCGAAGCTGGGCCGAAGCGGCGCCACCGACAGCGACGGCGACGGCGAGCCCGCGGTGGTGGACGATGGCGACGACGGCAGCGACGACGACGAGCCCAGGTCGGTTTTTAACTCCGAACCGGCGGCCGCCCCAACGAGTGAGGGCAGGTCGGGCGTCGAGGCCGACTTGGCCTTGTCGCTGATCTGCACAGCGACCGACCGTGGCGAGACGGGCGGCGGAGGCAGGGCCGAGGTGGGTTTGTTGAGGGCGGCGATGGAGATGGCCCGCACCAGCGGCTTCGGGGCCGTCGGCCTCTGCGGTCTCTGGAGCTGCGCCGCCGGGGCCGGGGCCGTCGTCGGGGTTGAGGCCTGCTGAGGCGGTGATGACGTGGCATTGCTGACCACTGCTGCTGCCGTCTGCTGCGGTGCAGGCGGTGATGACGTGGCATTGCTGCCGTTCGCGCGAGGCGAGAGGGGCCGCGCGGCCGGGCGCGCTTCCGCGGCTGACGAGTTGGTGGGCCGCACGGCGTCGGTCTCCCGCGGGGACAACGGTGGCGAGGAGGCCTTGCTGGCGTTCTCTTGTCGCTCCTTGTCGAACGGGTTGCTCGCCGGCGCAGCGGCCCGCTTGATCACCTTGTCAAAGAACATCCCCTCCTTGCTCTCTGTTGAACGTAAGTCACCATGACACACGACACGACACACACGCACGACACGCACGCGCTCGACCGCACACGCGCAAGGTGTGGTCTCCGTACTTCTGAGGGCGCGTCTGCTGCTGTCGCCCTGCTCGCGCTGCTCGCCGACGATGGGTCCGGCCTCCCGCCGTGAATTCTTTCGGTGCGCGTCCTTCACGACGTCCATCAGATGCGCGTTCTGCTCGTTCAACCTGTCACGGCCATCCACCATTCATTCAGCGCCTTCCCAGACCGTGCGTGTGCGATTGTGCGTGTGCGGTGTTTGTGTTTGTGTGTGTGTGTGTGTGTGTGTGTGTGTGTGTGTGTGTGTGTGTGTGTGTGTGTGTGCGGTGGTGCGTTGCTGTACCTTCTGTTCTCCATCTCGAGATCGGCGATGCGGACTTGGAGCTGCTGGACCTGCTGCTTGAGCTTGGCCTCTTCCATGAGCAGCGTCTCAATGGCCTCGGTCGTGTCCCTGTGCTCGGCATTCGCGTTCATTCGCACATGTGAGCAAATTGAATTAATGAATTAATGATTTAATGAATTAATATATAAGAGATAATATAAATAAATATAAAAATAGTACACAAACCACAGTGCGCACCTGGGCTCCACTTTGAGGGAGAGGGTGTAGGCTACGGCTTCGTCCTCCACCTGCGGCAGCTCCTGCAGCATGTCGCGAAGCTCTGGCACGAGCTGGGGAACAGCGATATAGAACAGTGAGTGCGATTGCACCACCGCACACGCGCACACGACGCACACGACACGCGCGACACACAGACGATGTGCGTACGGGATAGGTGTAGGAGGGCGTTTGGTAGAATCGAATCTCGGTGATGACGGCGGCGATCATCTGGCTCTTGTTCCAGTTGATGAGGTCGTCCAGCGTGTTGGGGTTGCCGTCCTCGATGAACGTGAGGTCCGTCAAATACACGCCTGCACCGGCACAGTCGCGGTTAAGGTGGCGGCGGCGCGGTGAGTGGTTAAGGTGGCGGTCAGTGTCAGCGCTGTGGGAGCGCGTACCGAGATAGGGGACGCAGGGAGGCACTGAGCCGTGGAGGGCAGAGCGGTAGAGCTTGTAGGAGGAGTCGTGCGAAGTCAACTCCTCCAGGAACCGCATCGCGCTCTCCCACTCGGCCTCCTTGTTGATCAACTGCGCAGAGAATCGAATCCAGAGCGCATCAGTGTGTGCGGTTGTGTGTGTGTGTGTGTGTGTTGGTGTGTGTTACCTCCCACGACTTCTTCAATCGTGACACGGGAGACGAGTGGAGGCCGGACATGATTTGCATCACGCCGTTGAAGTTGTTGCATTCCGCCAATTTCTGTTCGGACATAAATAACGAAAAAGTGAACTAGATGAGCGCATTGTGTTTCAAGATGGACCGACAGGTGTGATGCGATATCAGGTACCTTGCCGAGAGTGATGAACTTCTTGATCGCGTTGACGCGGTCTGTCAGCTTCACCTTGTTGACCACTTGCGACGTGACCCAAGCGCTCATCTACGGAGCACGCGAACGCAACGTACATCGTTGAGTTACAGCCATTCTAACATCACATAATATATGATTTGAATATTATAATGGATGCACGCACCATGTTGAATCGCTTGATGATGGTCAGGATGTTGGGTGAGGTGATGTGCTTTTGCTTGCTGTTGGACCACGCCTTGTTCAAGCATTCGCTCGGGCGTATCTTTCGCCACAGCTCGTGCTCTGCAGAAGAAAAGAAGAAAAGAAAAGAAGAGAAAAGACTCAGCACAGGCGCAAGCAAGCGGGCGTGGGGGCGACAGGTGCGCGCATACCAAGGAGGCACATCTGCTGGGCGAGGATGCCCACATCATCGATGTCGTCGATGTTCAGCTCCTTCGCATTCGTGGGACTCACCGAAGGCGGCGACAGATCCTGACTCGTTTTCTTCGCTCGGTAGTCGGCCTCCCACGCCTGCAGCGCACACCGGTTATATCTTAATTATGTAGTAAATAAAATAATGAACTGTAAATACCTCAAACGTCTTTCGGAGTTGTTCGGCTGCGGGTTTCATGTACAGCGGCAGAATATCTGTGATGAAAGTCTGACAAACACACAGCGCACAGCGCACAGCACAACACGCAACACGATTCAGCACGATCGGTGCGCGCGGCTGCCGACTGCAGACTAGGTCGAGGGGCAAGTCGTACCTCGAGTTCGTACATGATGTCGCCGGAGCCAGAGTCGCGGCCCTCCTTGCGGAAATCGTACCCGTGCTCCTTCATCCAGTGTTTGAGGACCATCACAACTCTAGGAATGTGTGCGTAGTGTGCGGTGTGTGCATGTGGTGTGTGTAGGGTGAGTGCAATCAACGTATCATTTGGGCGCCAAATGTGTGGCGGAGAGCGTACTTGATGCGGACCAGGTGCAGCTGCTGCTCTCGCTCCTCGTCATTAAGGTAGGGATCGAGCGGCGTGAATTTGCCGATGTACCGATGCAGCAGCTTGCGAAGCAGCTCTTGCGGAGTCATGAACGACCTGTACGTAAGCATGAACGCGTCCCTGAACTTGGCGTCTGTAGTGTTTGTCTTCGTCAGCTGATGTCATGTGTGTGTGTGTGTGTGTGTGTGTGTGTGTGTGTGTGTGTGTGTGAGGACTTGCCTGAGTATTTGGGCGTGGTGAGCCATTCGACGAGCTTGTCGGCGGTTGCGGCCTTGACTCGGGGCACCTCGGTGGGACTGGCGGCGGGCATGTAGCGAATCTCGGCCGAATCCTCCTCCACTGCCCACAGCGCCGGCGTCGCCGATGACGAGGCATCGACGCTGAACGCTGCGCTCCCCAGCGCACTCACGCCCCCACCGCTGCTGCTGTGTCCAACCGACTTTGACCCATCGAAGCCGCGGCTTCTGCCGCTGCCGCCACTGCCGGTGCCCTCGTCCGTCGCCAAGTCCATCATTCGCTCGGTGCCGGGCGATGTCGACAGCGAGAAGTCGAACGAGGACTCACGGTCGACCGTGCGATCCCTGTCGTCGAACGAGCGCTCGCGCTTGGCCCGCATCTTGCGCATGTTGCGGCCGAGCCACCCGGCCGAGCCGCTCTCGCCCGAAAACGAGTCCTTGCGCTCGCGCCCGGCAACGCCGTCGGCCTGCGCCTGGGCAGCGACGAGTCGTTCGAGCTGCCGTGCCTCGTATTCCTCACGAGCTTCGGGCGTGAGCCCCATCAAAAATGATCCCTGCACGCGCATCACCGAATAAGGCGTGTGTGCGTGTTCGGTGGTGCGTGTGCGGTCGTGCGTGTGCGATGGATATACCTTGGGAGTGCGCAGGTCGCCTTCCACCTGGGTGTAGAGGGAAAGCAGATGGGCAACCGCTTGACCGACCTTCTTCGGCGAGGCGCTTGCCGAGTTGTCAAAGGCGCCTTCCACATCCTGCGTGACAGCAGTTGTCGCACGTGCGTGAGTTATCACACACACACACACACACATACACACACGATCACACACACACGTAAGGTTGCGACAGTGGTACCTGGAAGTAGTAGTTGAAACTGCCGTCGAGGAAGTCGGACTGTGACTTGGACAGGATGAACTCCCACTCGAACAGGGTCTGGCCGATCCAGTGCGCTTCTTCTCGCGTGATACCAAAGTTGGTCTTGATCCACTCCACCGCCTCCGAACCTGCAGCACCCAAGCACACCGTGATGGTTAGCTCGCACGGCCGTAAAAAAAGCAAAATTATTATTATAACTAAAATAAATTTCGCGTCCTACTATAAATAAAAAATAAAATTACATAATATAAATGGAGCCCTCAACGACCAAAGAGCGAAGAAAAAGAGCGAAAGCGAGAGATGGGGGGCTCGCCTTTGAACTTCCTGGTCTTTTTGATCTTGTTGAGGAGGTTCTGTTTTTTGATTTTCATCTTGGCCACGGCCAGCCCGCAAGCGGGGTCATGAAGGGCCGACGCCACCATCCGCACCGACGCCACCAGCCCGGGGTCGGCCTGTGGCGTGGTGGTAGTAGGAGTGGCTGACGTCGACGTCGCTAAAGAAGGCGATGAAGATGATGACGTTGAAGATGAAGCCGGTGGCGAGGCCGTAGGAGAGTTGAAGGTCGGAACGAGACCTTCACTCGCCCCCGCACTATAGCTGTACATCTTCCGCCCCTCTATTTTGTTTATGATTCGTAATGGCCCTCCCCCTCTCTTTCAGGTATGAAGGGCTTTGCCGTAACGAACACACTTGGGTTGATGGTGGGGCGGGTATGTTGTGTGGTTGGCTGAGCCACCAACTATCAAAGAATGTCAAGCACGCTCACGACCACCAGCAAGAAGCTTCAAGGTAAGGAGGGAAAGGAGGAAGAAGGAGGAAGAACAGAAGCAGTAGGAAGGAGTAAACACGAGGAGGACAAGGGAGTGAGGTGAAGATATCTGATTGACCAGCCAGCAAGGAGGAAAGCAATACCCACCACTATATTGCAAGGACGAATTAAAATCCCCTGTCAGCCACTGGAGAAGGCACGCCCAAGCGATTGGCCGCACCATCCAGACCACACTGGGATCTTGCATCTTGTCCTGTCACCTTCAAGAAAAGCCAGGGAGGTAAAGTTGGCTCCCATTCTCCCTGCCATAAGGCCACTGGATGCACTTGGGGAGAAAGAGGATAGGGTAGGAGGACCGTGTGCATTCAGAGAATTCACCTTGTGGCCACATCTCAAGGCCTACTGGCCTCCGGGGGGCTCCAAGAGTCAGCTCCCGCAGCGCTCCAGAGTTGGCTGTGATTGTTTGTGGTCGCGGCAGCACTGAGCGATGGCCGCACGGCCAAAAGAGAATGAAACGGGGCAAAATTGAACCACGTGCTTGGGTGTCTCCGGCGCGACGCGTAACGGCTGGAAGAGGACCCAAAAACTACACAACAAGTTCGCTCTTGCGAGCTGCCCCTTGCGCACGAAGACTCAAGCGGAGCCGGGGAGATACAAAGCAGCCCGAAAGAAGGAGAGAAAGGAAAGACACAAATCCATCTCGGGCTTGATCCATCTCTTGAGCCGCAGCCTGATGTGGTAGCCCCCCCCCCAAACCCCCCTTGCAGATGATAAAGCTCTTACGTTGGTGTCTGCAACCCCCCCCCTCTCTTTCTCTTTCTCCTTTCCTTGCGCGTCCATCTCCACTGCGTGCGTAGTCGGTCATGCAGGCGTTGAAGCTCAAAATCAACAAAATAAGGGCTCGCGCATCCTCGCCCCCACCCAGCCCGTACGGCGCCTTCCCCTCTCTTCTCCAAGCCTTCTTTATTCTCCACGTTCTCGGTTTCTTGAACAAGTTGTGTAAGAGTCTTGAGTCAACCTGCGCACTATCCAGGGCGCCGGTGGTCCCCGCGGCAGCACCGAAGGTGCGGCCGAGCAAGTTTGATGGACCGGTGTTCGCTGCGCTGCTGGAAGACCTGAGAAACGAAAACGGAGCAGGCAAGAGCGAAAGCGAAAGCGAAGGCGAGAAAAGAGCGAAGAAGAGCGAAGACGACGGAGCAGGTCTGGAGCGGAGCGGGGAGGACGCGGGCACGGGAGCGGGAGCCGGACGACGCCAGCGCTGGGCGAGGCCTGCTGGGGAGGAGGAGGCGAAGAGAAAAGCGGAGAGAGACGAGAAGAAGACGCGACGGCGAAGCCTAGGCGTGTTCTTGGAGTCGGGCAGGCGCAGCGGCGAGAACGATCTGCGCTCGCTGCTGGCCGGGCTCGGCAGCCCACGCACACCAAAGGCCGACGTATCCAAGGAGAAGGCCAAGTCGCGCAGGAACGAAGAGCGACGAAGAGCGAAGGAAGGCGAAAAAGAACGAGCCAAGGTGGAAAAAGAGAAAGAGAAGACGAAAGCAAAGGACAAGGGCAATAGCAGGGAGAAGGGCAAAGAAAAGGAGACGGAGGAGGCAGCAGCTGCAGAAAGCGAAAGGCCGATCAATCGAACGCGTCGAAGGAGTGCGAGCATGGATCGGCTGGGCTTGTCGCATCGCAGCTCCGTCTCACCCTTGGGCAAGGGCGCCAAGTCGGACAGCGAAGACGATCGGGCCAAGCGGCAGCGGAACATGGCGGGGAACGAGAGCCCGAACGTCATTCGACGGGAGGAGGAGGCGGCGGATGTCATCAAGAAGCCGAAGGGGCTGTCCGCCGACAGTTGGCGCGAGTCGGGCGCCGCGAGCGGCGAGACGGCCAGTCGGCAGGTGTCGCGGAGTCAAAGGAAGAACAGAAACATCAACAGCGACCACGCCGAGGAGCAAGCCTGGGAATGCCTTGATCTCTCCAAGCGGTAACGGCTGTGTTGTGTGTGTGTGTGTGTGTGTGTGTGTGTGTGTGTGTGTGTGTGTGTGTGTGTGTGTGTGTGTGTGTGTGTTTCCTCTGACCTCAAGTGTTTCATTTGATGGATGTCAGGTATCTTGATCACTGGGCTGTGGAGGAGCTGTGCCAAGTGTTGATGACCAACACCCGAATCAAGCGACTCCGTTTGTCGAAGAACAGGATCGGCGATGAGGGCCTGGACCACCTCAGCGCCATGCTGAGCCGCAACACCACGCTCACCACCCTCGACCTGCGATTCAACAACCTGACGTCGGAGGTGTGGACCACCGATTTCATTTCTCTCATTTTCCTCCAACCCAAACGGTGCATTTCCCCTCCATTTCCCTCACTCTCTTTTCGCTTGTTCACAACAACAGGGAGTGGGCCGGCTCTTGTCGAGCATCGAGCGATCGAACGTGACCTTGACCACGCTGCTCGTGAAGGAGAAGGAGGACGAAGAGAGCGAGCAAGAGGGCGTGGCTGCAGTGGGACCCGCCACCGCGTATCGCAAGCGTCTCCAGAGAGTGGTCAAGTCCAACCGCAGCTTTCAGAAGGTGAGTGACTCACTCATTCGCCGTCATCGTCTCTGGGTGCGACTCCTAAACGGTGCCCGGCACAGGTGTTGAGCGGATCTGCGTGCAAGCTCCGGGTATCCCGGCGCGGCCTCTCCGAAGCTCACCTCCTGCTGTTGGCCAAGTGCACCTGGCTCGAGGCAATCATTTTTAAATCCTTTATCATAATTCATTCATTCTGCTGCTGCTTATCGTTATTATTATTGTTATTATTATGCATTACTATTATGATGAGGATTACTGTGATTATTATTGTAAATTCTTTACTAATGTACCTCTCATTTTGCAGGAGCTAGACTACTCGGGCAATGCGCTCGAAACGGTGCCGTCGCAGATCGGTCAGCTGCGGCGATTGTGCGTGCTCAACCTCTCAGAGAATCGGCTGCAATCGCTGCCACCGTCGCTCGTCGATTGCACGTCGCTGGTGCACCTCCACCTGGCGAACAACCTCCTCACCGAGGTCCCGGCATGCGTGATTAACTTGCCCGCACTCAAATCACTGGTACAGTTTCCTTGTGACTCTTTGTGTGCGGTGTGCGTGCATGTGCGGTGTGCGTGTGCGTAGTTGCAGTGATGATACAAGTACCGATGATATAACGCGAAGAATGATTCGCTCAAGAAAAACTTCATCTGAAACACGAAGAGCTTAGCCTTGAGTCGGTTGTGATTGACATGTCTGGAGAGCTGACGGTCTTATGCACGTAATTCTATTGCAGGACGTCTCCAACAACCAAATCGCGTCACTGCCGCGACATGAACTCCTGAGCATGACAGGGCTGCGCTCGTTGCTCGTCACAGGGAACCCCTTCACGCAGGCACGTCCCTAGCTCTCACCAACACTCAACACCCAACACTGCTGACGTGTACGTACACGTGCTAACGACAACTGACCAACCAACGCTAGGAGAGTGCCGTCCCCTCGAACGCTCTTGATTCCAGCGGCTCGAGCCTGCTCCGCTACTTGCGGGAGCAGAGCGCGTTGGCCGACTTCAGCACGCAGGCCGTGTCGACACTCAACCTCATCGTGTTGGGCAACGAACGTACGCGCCCGCACCATTATCCCACTCGCGCACACCACCTGCAAACTCACCAAACGTGTCGCCCCTCCCCAATCTCTTTCTATGCACAGGGTCGGGCAAGACGACGCTCATTCACCACTTGATGGACGTCAACAAGCAGCAGCGGGTCATGCGACATCGGTCGCTGGGCAAGGACCCAGTCGAAGCTCTGCAGACTCTGTCTCCCTTTCTCGATATTCAGGTATCAGCCACTTTTTTGTGTGAACTCTTTCCCGCCCCCTGACTAGCTCACACAACCACGCGCTGTTGGCTGAATGGACTCGGGTGCGGTGTGCAGGATTGGGAAGTGAAGAAGGCAAAGAGCGAAACGGCGGTTCGCTTTCGCGTTTGGGATTTTGTCGACTATGTACGCCCTCCTGCCCGATGGTGCCCCCCCGCTCTATTTAGCCTCAGGTGCTCATCTTGTTCTTGTTTGGTGACTGGCTGGCGTCGCGCAGGACACATACTACCCGGCACACAAGTGTTTCCTGGCCAAGCGGAGCATTATCATTGTTCTCTTCGACCTTTCCCTTCCGTCGCGAGTACGTCGATTCATTGCTTGCATGACCAAGTTGAGTGTTGCAGACGAGGCAAAGTGTTAAAATAACGTGTCACGTCCAGGCTTCACAACTCGAATACTGGCTGCAGTCCATACACGAAAGCAAGGCTGAGGTAAACACGCACACACGCACACACGCACCACCGCACACGCACACGCACACGCACAGCTTACATTCTTATTGTGTGTACGTTTCCAGGGCACTCCGGTGATCATCGTGGGCCGATGGGGCGACGCCCCGGCTGGCACCGGTTACCGGGGCACATCGCAGGCATCGCAGGCTGCAGAAGCGGCACACAAGCTGGTGCCCAAGTTCAAGTCCCGCTTTCCGCACATCGTCACCCATCTCATCACCAGCAGCAAAGGTGCGTAGTTCTGTGTAGTGCATGCGTACGTGTGCGCGTGTGTTCGTGTGTGCGTGTGCGCGCGCGTGGCGTGGCGTGGCGCGTGTCGTGTCTTGCTACAATGGAATGTTAACCACGTTTACCGCCGCATCGCAGGCAAATCAGTAGCCCGGCTGCGGGACAAACTGTTGGAGCTGGCGTTTTCGCTGCCCTTTATTCCCGACTCCATCCCGTCATCGCACGTGCGCCTCCAGCTGAAGATCGAGAAGCAGTCCCGCTTCAAGCCCTTCTTGAGTCTCGATGTACTCTCCCCCCTCTGCACACGACACACACCCGACACACACACACACGCGGAAAGGCTCACTAGCTACGGGCCATTGGTGAACGCGGCAGGAGTTCAAGGGATTGGCGCGGCAGTGCGGCGTCGCCACGGACACCTCGCTGGAAGTGGCCGTACAGTGGTTGAAGGAGATGGGCTCGATCATCTACGTCGGCAACCACCGCGGCAGCGGCTCCAGGTGCGGCAGCAGCCGCTCCAAGAGGCGCGTGGCCCCTGTCGCCGCCGCTGCCGCCAACATCAGCTCACCACCGTCGCAAATCTCGTCGTGGCCCTCGACCTCATCGTCGTCATCATCGTCATCACCCTCCTACTCGTCGTCATCGACCACCACCTCCTACACCACCGACGACCCGTCGGCGCCGGCGCCGGCATCGGCTCGCGCCAGGCGGAGTCCCCTCCCGCGCCTGATATCAGGCGAGGAGGAGACCCGGCTACTCAACGACTTCATCATCGTCTCGCCTAAGTGGGTGCTCGAGGCCATCGGCGCTATCACGTCGGCGCGGCACACCTACCTGTCGTGCCGGGGCGAGGTGACCTTCGCCACGCTCAGCCAAAAGATATGGAGCGCTGCCGCAACGTTTCCGGTCCAGTCGCACTTCCCGCTCGCCCGCGTGCTGCACGAGTACGGCGTGCTACGGCTCATCGACGCCACGACCGACGCCGCGAGCGGGGCCAACACTACTGCGTCTGCGGCGGCGGCAGAGATCGTCGACGGTGGACAGGTGGAGGCGGGTGGGATGAAGGTCGGCCTGACGCTACAGGCTACTACTTCTACCCATGTGGCCCAGCCGATGAGGAATTTGGGCACCCTGGTGGTCAAGTGCTGGTGGATGGAGGAGTTCGAACACGCCAGCGACATTCGACGGTACCGAAGACACTCACCTCCCTACTGTGATTCCGACCTGTGATCGCGCTGACACACCACACACACACACACACACACACACACACACACACACACACACACACACACACACACACACACACACACACACACCATAGAGGCGGAACGATCGTCAGCTTAAAGAAGGCGACCACGGTCAAACGCGTGCTCGAGATTCTGCAACTCGAAAAATACATCCCCGTCCTGCTCGAGCACGTATATGACCCACCACAGACATACACATACACCCGCACTCGCGCGCATTCTCTTCATAACTCGAATTCCATTTCCCCCCTCTGTTGCAGGAGGTCACGTTCAAGTCGTTCATTCTGCTCAACGAAGATGATCTCAAGGACATGGGGATCCCGACCGGCCCGCGCAAGTCGCTGCTGGCCGCGATCGAGGTGGTCAAGAAGCACTCGCCGTTCTCGCTGGCCATTCCTTCGTCGTCGTCGCCGGCGACGACAGCGACGGCGAGCGGGCCTCGTTCGCCCCCGCGCAGCCCATCGCTGTCGACGCCCGAGCGCATACGACTCGAGGACCTCAAGCACCACGTCGACAAGAAACCGTCGAGCCCCCACAGCCCTTCTAAGGTGGCTGACGAGAGCGGCGGCGGCGGTGCACAGGACGTGGGCGCCGCCACGGGGACGGGACCACACGACCGAGTCGACAAAAGGCGACAGCAGCGAGGCAAAGAGCGAATAACGCGAAAGCGAGAGAGCGAAAGCGGCGAGCACTTCACGAAGCGAAGGAGCAACAAGGAGCAGGAGGTAGTGGAGCAGGACGACGCGCACATGCGCCTCGGCTCGGCGGGCGGCAGCCCCGGTCGACGACGCGCCCACTCCTCGCCGATCATGCCCGTCCAGCTGCTAATCGACTCCTCCTCGAACCTCGCCACCCGCTCGCCACCATCGCCGACCACCGCCGCGCGGGGCAAGCGCTTCGGAATTAAAAACGCGCGCAAGTCGCTCGAGCGCCGCCTCCACAACCTCATCTCTCCCGGGCGAGAGAGCGACGGCGACGGCGGAGACCTGGCGCAGCAGCAGCAGCACCCGCTGGGCCGGCACTCGGCGGGCGGCAAGAAGGACCGGTCCGCGCGGAGCAAGAAGGGCGTGCGACTGGCCACATCGGACTCAACCACGCTGCTCTCCCATTCGACGCCGTCCACGGCTCGGCTCAGCTACGCCGCGGCGATGGCCTCGCCGCCGACCTCGCCGACGTCGGCTTCGTCTTCGTCGTCGTCGCCATCATCATCGTCGCCTTCTATGCCTCCGCTCTCACTTTCGCTCTATCCGAAAACGGCCCAGGGGCTGTTTTCGTCAATGTCTGTGCCGACCACGCCCACGAGCAGCTTGCCCAAGTCGCGCGCCACCGCATCGTCGCCCTCGCTCGCACAGTACTCGTTCGCCTTGTCGCCCTTCCCGTCGCCGCTGGCGTCGCCCCTCACGTCGACCTCGCCGCGCGTGTCGCCCACCTCCTCGCCGCGCTCTTCGTCGATGTCGTCGTCGCCCGCCTCGTCTCCCTACGCTTCGCCGCGGTTCGACCCGGAGACGCCCAGCAGCGTCGGCGGGCCGACCGTGCAGTTTGCCGTGGGCACTGCGGTGCCCCAGCTGCCGCCGCTGCACTACTCCGCCATCAGCCCCTCGCCCTCGCCCTCCACCTCCGCTACCACACCAGCGATCCCTTCCTGCTCTTCGTCTTTCTCTTCGGCATCGGCGGCCGTGACGTCAGCGGCGTCATCGTCGTCGACGTCGTCGCCTTCGATTCCGGGCCTTCACCTTCAGCTCTCGTCACCTTCTTCGGCCAACGTAGGCGCCTCGTCGCCGCTGTCGCCCGGCTCCTACAGTCTCATTCTCAGGGTGCAGAAAGAAGACAAGGACAAGGACGGTAGCGCCGCCGGCAACGGCTGCAACGGCAACGGGAGCAGCATCGGCGGCGGCGGCGCTAGCAGCAGCAAGGCCGAGGCTCGGAGCGAGCTCAAGCGCGCGTCCACCCGCCTGCCGGTCCCCTCCACGGTACGCCCCGCCCGTCTTGTCTGGGCCTGTTGAGACGGCATTGGCTGATCTCTGTGGTTGTGCAGCCGAGAGCCCACGGCACGGTGACGCCTCGCGCTTCGGTGGGAACGCCGACCCAGCGTCAGCCTTCGCCACGGGTTCGCTCATCCGCTTCGTTCTTATTTCTGTTGTTGCTGCTGCTGCTGCTGTTGGCTGGTGTGCAAGTGGTTGATGTCCTCCCTTCACTCTTTCTCTCTCTATCTGGTAGCCGTCGTTGAGTTCGGTGGTGAGTGAGGCCAAGGACAGAATGGACGAACCTTCGAAGACGCTCAGTTTCGACAACTTTGACATCGTCGACAGCGGCATGCAGTTCCAAACGGTACGTTGTCCCCCCCCCGAAAGGCTCCCTCGCGCTTACGCGGTTCCCTGTGCTGTGCTAACCACCCTTGGCCGTTTTACTACTACTGCAGAGAACGACTAAAGAGCGATGGGAGATCGAGCCCTCCGAGTTGGAGTTCATTCGTGAGATCGGCCAGGGCGCCTTTGGCGTCGTGTGGCTCGTACGTGCAATCCCCATTCCTCAAATGACTGCGCTGCGTGTGTGCGGTTGTTGTGCGTGTGCCTTGGGCAACAAACGTGGTAACGACAACGTCACGTTGCAGGCCAAGTGGCGCAACAGCGAGGTGGTGGTCAAGAAGCTCTTCTCCGACCAACGGCTCTCACCCAAACAGCTCAAGGAGTTCAAGGGCGAGGTACGACAGCTTCACCCCTTGCATTCCGAGACATTCTTTTGCTGCGGCAATTTGCCCGTTATTGACTCTGCACCCAATTCACCCTCTTCAGGCCAACATCATGCTGCGCCTGCGCCCCCACAAGAACATTGTGCAGCTCATGGGCGTGTGCCTCCACCCGGTATGCGCGCAGCTCGCATTCCTCATCGTTCACCCGCGTGGCTGGCATTGCTGACATTCCATTGGGGCTACAGGACAACCTGAGCCTGGTGGTGGAATACGTGCCGCTGGGCGACCTCTGCTCGCTGCTGCGCCGGGAGCCGCTCTCGCTCTCAGTCAAGATCCAGCTCCTCATGGGCACCGCGGCCGCGCTGTGCCACCTTCACCAGGAGAACGTGGTCCACCGCGACCTCGCCGCCCGCAATCTGCTGGTGACGCTGGCCAACGGCAACTACGAGGTCAAGGTGACCGACTTCGGGCTGTCGCGCAAGTCCAAGGGCACCTACGAGTCCTCGACCGGCTTCGGGCCGCTCAAGTGGATGGCGCCCGAGTCGATCCACCCCAAGACCAAGCTCTTCTCCAAGGCCAGCGACGTCTGGGCCTTTGGCGTCGTCATCTGGGTACCCTACTCTACACCTCCGCGCAGCAATGCGAGGAATGTAACCTTGGTGAGCGCCTTTCTCAACCGTTCGCTTCGCTGGCGCTGCACAGGAGATACTCATGGACGGCGAGGAACCCTTTGCAGACATGGAGTCCATCGACGCCGGAATGGTGCGTGTTGCGTTTGTTTTTTTTTGTGGCACACGTGTTTGCGCCATGTGTCGTGCGTACTGTGCGTCGTGTGTCGTGTGGTGTCGTGTGGTGCCGTGTTGTGTTGCGTGAGTTGGCTAACCCGGTGAGGAACGACAGGCGATATTGATGGGTGAACGCCTGGCGATTCGGGAGGAGTGGCCACCGGAGCTGCAGTCGCTGATGCACGAATGCTGGGCGGTGGTGCTGAGCGAGCGCCCGGCCTTCGAGGACATCTACAAGCGTCTCGAGACCGCGCTGCTGCGTCACCACGAGGAGGTCTCCGCCGGCAACACCGCCTCGCCCGTCACCAGCGTCTGCCCTACGACAACTACCCTGGCCTCTTCGTCCTCCGCCTTGTCCTCCACACCGACTACGGACAGCGAGAAACGACAGCGCCCTCCTTCCCCTTGATGCTTGATGGCGCCCCCCCCCCGCTTATATAAAGTGGTGCCCCGTTTTGGGTCCGGCTCGCCGGAATGAGAGACAGCGGGTACCAAGCAGGGAGTCGCTGAGTTTCTGTAAGCCTCTTCAAGGCTACATTTTAACAGGCAAAGCAGAGTGGCGCAGTGGAAGCGTGGTGGGCCCATAACCCACAGGTCGATGGATCGAAACCATCCTCTGCTAACGTACTTTTTTTCCACTACCTTGTTTAGCGACTTAGCACCTCAAAGAATTTCAAATATTACGCTGGTGGCGGTTGCTGCGCGAGACGAATCAGGAAATCCTTTCATCAGGAGGAAAGGAAAGCAGATACCAACAGTAGCACTTACTCAGTGGTGCTTCTTCTGCGGCTGATTGAAAGGTATGGTCCATGTGCGAATAGGAACAGGATTTTCCCATTTACCGCAGCCATTTAGCCCCCCCCCCATATTAATCTACGACTGTTTCTTCTTTCACGCGCACTTTCCCCTCAACTCCTCTTCATCTCCTTGCTGCTCTCCATCAACGATTGATCTGAAACCCTGTCCAACTCCAACCTTCCCCACGCTGCCCGTGCGTCCGCCGTTGTATGCGCCGTGGCACCAACGTTTCTTCTTTCGTGTCGTGCTTTGTGCACAGTGTGAAAGGCTGCAGCGTTACGGCTCGCTGGCGTCACCATGCAGAACCACTCCTCTCTCTCGTCCAGCAGCGCTGCCGTCGACGCCTCGCCTCCATCATCGGGCAAGAGCGGCGGCAACCCGGGCAACTTTTCGCCCGTGCCCACCGGCTCGAACGGCGCGATCCCGTCCGTGCCGCCCGTGCCCGGTGGCGTATCATCCAGCCCTCCGTCGTCCGCATTCACAACGGGCAGTCCCAGCGGCTCGGGCTCGTTCATCGCGGTGCCCCTGTCGAGCTCGGGCAGCGGCATCAGCGGGCAGCCGGCGCTGGCCAGCAGCTCGGCGGCGCACAAACGCGGCTCGTTCACCATGCTCGACTCCTCCACACAGAGCCCTTCCATGTACCGCGAGAAGGTCAAGAACCTTCAGGAGGTACGGCTGCGTGTGTGTGGCGTGTGTGTGTGTGTGTTGGTTCGCGCGTTGTGTCCACTCACGATGATCTGGTTCGCGCAGTCGAGCGAGCACTTGTGGAAGTACCTGCGGAAGATTGCCGACACCTCGCGCTCGCTGGCCGTGAGCGGCTCGGGTACCCCTGTCCATTTCCTTGTGTCAAGTTCCAATGCTCTCTCCCACTCACTCTCGCTTGCTCACCCTCTCCTACATCGTTGCCCGATCGATTTGGCCATCACCAGTCGGTGACGCGGTGCAGTTTGCGGACGAGCTGCTCGAGTTTGCCTTTGCCAGAAACGACCAAAAAGGTTCGGTTCAGCTTGTAAGCCACGCGCACGCGCTCGAACGTGGTCCTGACCCGGTGTGCACGTGTGCGTTGCTCGTTCCGTTCTTCAGAAGGGGGCATACTTTCGCAGAATCTCAAGAACATCGGCTCGGCCCTGAAAGATCTGGAGACCATGCGAAGCACCCTGGTATACGCCCAGTCTTCTTTCGCCCTGTCATCGCGCGGCGTGAACGAGGCCACTCTCGGCTTGTTGGTCTTACGGCACACGACCTCTTCCGGTGCTCGGGTGTATCTGCAGATGGAGCAGCTCGAGAATATCGTGACTATTCCGCTGGAGCAGTTCCTGCAGGTGGACATCAAGGGCGCGCTCGAGATGAAGAAGCGGCTGGTCAAGACGCGTGACCAGTACGAGGCTGCGCAGCTCAAATACGACCTCGTCCGCACTTCCAAGAAGAAGAAAGACCAGGCCGAGAAGTCCGAGAAGGTGCGTCACACGCACAACTCCTTGGACAAGGTTTCCCCCCTAATCATCTACTGTGGCGATCAGCTCGAGACGGAACTGGCCGAGTTGAAGAAGCTGTACGAGCTGACGAACATCAACTACGCAAACCGCCTGTCCAAGATCGACGCCAAGAAATCGTTCGAGGTGCGGTTTTGCTCCGCCGTTGTTCCTCGTGTGTGCGATGTTGCGACTCAAATGTGCCCTCGTCAGGTGTTGGAGCGACTGGGCACGTACATGTACGCCACCATGGCCTTCTTTCACCAGGGCTCGGATCTGCTCGCGGATCTCGAGCCGTCGCTGCGCGAGCTGATGATGACGCTCGACGAAGAGCGAACACTCTACCTCACCGAAACCCTCAAGCAGGACGTACGGCCGCCACCCCCTCTTTTGACCCGCAACCGCTCGGGCCCGTGTTTCAGTGTAGTCGATTACACTCACACGCACACCAACCGCACACGCGCGCTCACGCAGGCCGGCAAAAAGGCCCCTTTGATGCCTACGCTCGAAAAGCAGGGCTATCTTTTCGTCAGGATCCGCGGCAGGAGCGGCGGCATGCGCTGGAAAAGGTGCGTGGCCACACCCACGTGGAGTGAAAACACAGCTCTTGGTATTGGTTTAGTGCTTCAATAAGGCTTAACGTGTATGTGGTGTGGCCAGGCGGTGGTTTGTGGTGGCCGAGGGAGGATTTCACACGTACAGGAGCTGGAAGGAACTCAATCCCGTCAGCACGCACGACATGCTCCTCTCCACGGTTAAAACTTTGAGGTAAGGCTCCTCCCTCCTTCCGCAGAGTCGTGAGACGTCAATGTTCAATGCGATTCTGACCTGGACACACACACACACTAGCGAGAGTGAGCCGCCGCATAAGAATTTTGTGTTCAGTTTGATGTGGCCTAACAAGGAAGCGCTGCTGCTGCAAGCGGCTTCGGAGAAAGACAGAAGGTGCCGTCCTACCGCACTCACCACCCGATCGATTCTGTGTTTCGTATTTATTATTGACCTCGCCGCGACGCAGTGAGTGGATGGAAGTTTTGCTGAACGCGAGCGGCTATCGCTTGAAGCAGTCGCAGATCGCGAACACGCAGCAGCACACCAGCGCACTGACCACATGTACGCACGTTCGCTGCTCTTTCGCTTGTACCGCGCACATCCTGACCTGTCCCCCCCACACGCACTCAACAGTCCAGCGACCGTACGAACAACTGCGAGCTCTGTCAGAGGCGAACCGCTTCTGCGCCGATTGCAACCAGAAGGGTACTACCGCTGAGCCTGCTTGCACGACGACAACGTGCTGCGTGCGGCTAACCCTCCCCTTCCCCCCCCCGCATTTACACTCTTCGCGAAGATCCCGAGTGGTCTGCGGTCAACCTCGGCGCGCTTCTGTGCGAAGAGTGCGCGGGCGTGCACCGTGGCTTGGGCGTTCACATCTCGCGAGTCAAGTCGCTCGTTCTGGACAAGTGGGAGCCCGAATTGTTGATGGTGCGCTCATGCTCCTCCCTTCTCCTCGCGCTACCTCCCCCTCACATGTGCTCCATCCAATCCACTGACGCAATCACTGCCGTGCAGCTGATGAAATCCATCGGCAACGCCATGGCCAACAGCATCTGGGAGTTCAACGCGTCGCCCGCCCTCAAACCCAATGAGTCGTCTGATCGGTAATGGGCCGCACTTGTGCCATGCGTTGCGTTGTGTGCGTGTGTGCTATGCGCGCGCTTTGAATAACATATTAATACTATTATTCCTTCCTTTCCCCAGGGAAACACGAGAGCGCTACATCAAGGCCAAGTACGAGCTCCGTCGGTTCACGCACCGGCCCGAAATCAGCACACAGAAGCTGCAGGAGGTGCTTATCTCTCGGTCACGGCCATCGCACCTCATCCGCACGTGAGAGAGCTCACCACCACTTGTCCCCCTCCTACGTGTGTGTGACTGCAGCAATTGCTGGAGGCAGTGCTGGAGAGCGACGTGGTGCGGGTTTACCACCTCCTGGCACAGGGCGCATCGCTCGACTATCAGGACGCCAACAAAAAGTACGTTTTGGCCCTTCCCCTTCGTTCGTTCGTTCGTTGCTCCGCTCGAGAGTGCGCGCTGACGGTGGTGCGCGTGCTACTGCTGCTGGCCAGGTCGGTGCTCCATCACGCCGTGGAGGAGGACAAGACGAACCTCTTCTGCCTCGAATTGCTGGTGCAGTCGGGCGCCAAGGTACACCACTGGATCGTCGTGTCGTGTCGTGTCGTTGGTCGTGTCGTGAGTACCGTGTCGGGTCGGGTCGAAGTCTCACGCCCGCTCCCCGGTCGCCAGGTGAACATGGTCGACGACTTGGGTCGCTCGCCCCTCCACTACGCAGCCCTGCACGACCGCGCGTCCGTCGCCCGGTTGCTCATGAACAGAGGCGCCCAGGCCAGACTCAAAGACGCCGTACGGCATTCCTTCATTTTCATCAGATATTGTTTTATTTTTAATTCTTTTATTGTTTTATTGTTTTGTTATTATTTCTCACGCGCGCACCGTATAGGAGGGCAAGTCGCCGGAGGATTTGGCCAACGAGTTCCACTGTCGCAACTACCAGTCGCTGATGAACGACGAGTTCGAGGAGAAGCGCAAGCGCCGCACGGACCGGCTGTCGAGCAACAACCCGGTGGGGCGCGGCCACTTTGCGACGCCCAAGGCGGCCGACGCGGCGCCCACCAGGGCCTTTGAGCGCATGCGCACCATGACCCAGTCGCACGCCCAGTCGCAGTCGTTCACGTCGCTCCCCGCCAGCGACTACACGGCCCTCGCCCTTGCCACCGCGTCCGGCCGCTCTGGCGGCTTCGACGCCATGTACCACAGCCTCGACGAGGTGGCCCTGTCGTCGTCGCCCAAGCCCCAGCACCGCAGCGGCAGCAACATCGTTCACGGCAGCCCGGCCATGGCGACCGTCGCGGTGTCGCCGCAGACCGCGCCGAACTCTGCGACGCCCTCGGTGCCGTCCGGGCCGCCGCAGTCGCCGCGCTCGCTGTCGGCCTCGACGTCGTCGCTCGGCGCCGGCGGTGGGATTGTGTCGCCCGGCCGCGCCAAGCTGCTGGACCTCAAGCAGGCCCTGGCTCTCGAGATCGGCGAGGTCAACGAGCGACTCGAGCAGATGAAGTCGTCCACCGCCGGCGCCCGCGCCTCCGCGGTGCAGAGCGACGGCGGCGAGCAGCAGCAGCAGAAGCAGCCGCCCGTGGACCAACACAACGGCGAGCCGGACGCCGAGTCGGCGCTGCTCGCCAACAAGCTGCGCGTGGTCAAAATGCTTCTCTTCCACGAGTACCGCCCCAAGGAGAAAAAGGTAACTGCCCTTATGCGCGTGTCGTGCGATGTGTGTGTGTGATCGTGCGCGTGAGCGTGCGCGTGTGCGGTACGGCTGACGCTGAGTAGGAGCAGAGCATGGAGTTGAGCGAGGACCGGGAGACCGATTCGGAGGACACGACCGACCTGGCCACGGACGAGGACTTCGAGGACGACCGGGACTATGACGGCGCCGACACCAACGACGGCGACGAGAACGGCGACTCCAACGACGAAGACACCGGCGATGAAGACGACGGCGACGGCGACTCAGAGGACGACGACGGTGAAGCCGAAGGCGAAGGCGACGATGACGACACCGAAAGCGACCACGGCGGTACCACACGACAACAACATCAACCTACATAAGCTGCTTCCATATCTATATCTCCATCCCCATGCCCCTATGTATGTATATATTACATTGTGCTTTGTTATGTACGTAACTCTCCAGCACACAAGCTACCTATCCATCCATATCATACCACGCACGACACACGCACCACCGCACACGCACACTCCACACGACGCACGGGGGCCAATTTGTGGAATTTCCTTTCTTTTCTTCTTTTTTTCCTCTTGGCGCAGGCGACGCGGGTGGGAAGCGGGATCAAGGCAGCGGCTCCTTCGACGAGACCAAGACCGGCACGTCGAACAAGGCCGATCAGGGCACCCCGCAGCAGCAGCCGGCCAAGAAGCGGGGCAGCTGGCTGGCCTTCCGGTTGCCGCACAGGGACGATGACGGTCTGTCGTCGCCGGACCAGCTCAGCGCCGACGACGACAGCTCCCGCGGTAGCGGCAGCACGGCCGGCGTGATTGGGATGAGTCGGCTGACGCCCCGGGGCAACCTCAGCAGCAGCGGAGGCGCGGCCTCGTCTGTCGGCGGCGGCGGCGGCGACAACTGCGACCTTGACAAGAAGGGTCCCCGCGGCTTCAAGAGCCCGCGAGAGGCTCAGGCGTCGATTGGAGGGAGCAGCGACAGCCTCCAGCACCACCACCGGAGGGATGGTGGCGGAGGGCAGCGGCGGCACAAGAGCGACGAGAAGGACCGCCACGACTCAGACCATGAGAAGCCCAGAGACCGCACCCTCGCCAAGCGCCACAGCCAAGAGAAGGAAGAGGACAAGGTACGCGCCCCTTCACTGAACACGCACACGCACACGCACACGCACACGCGCACACTCCAGCTGACGGCGTCAGTAGGACGGGAAGACGCTGGGCCACAAGGTGAAGGGCTGGGCGTCGAGGAGGAGCAAGGGTGGGTCGACAAAGAGGCGGGAGTCAGAGGAGATCGTTTTCGTCAACCACAACCCCATACATAACTACATCAAGGTGCCGCCACGTTTTCACTCGCACAGCCCCAACCCTCTTTGACTGGCTTGTTGGCTTATCTGGTCCGTGTTTATGTGCCGGCGCCAGATCAACGCCAACGTGAAGGAGAAGGAGAACAGGGAGCGCGAGCTCGCCGAGTTGGTGAAGACGCCTCCCGGGCCTTGACGTGATGCGTGCGCACATGACATCGAAGAACAACACCAGTACTGGCGCAAGGCCCTAATTTCCTTCCTTTGCAGGCAAAAAAAACCTTTACCTCCGCTTCCACCTCGACCACTCGATTCTTGGGCTGCGCCGAACTTGCAGCAAAGCGAAAGCCCGGGCCTTCTCGCTTCGGCTAACACAAGAACCCAACTTTCTTTTTCGCCGCACGAACAATCAATCCCCCAACCGAAAATCAATAAAGCTCAGCTGTGCCATTTCTTTCTTCGCGAAAGAAAACAACCGAGAGCGAAGTGGTCATTCGCTCGGGCAGAGGACGGACACAAAAAGGGCACAGGCTGAGGAGTCCCACCATTCAACAACCGACAACCAGCGAGCCTCAGCACCTCCACTCTCCTCTCCACGAGTCCTTTACTTCCACACAGCAACCAACACACAATGGCAGGCATGATGCAAGCGATCAAGTGCGTGGTGGTCGGCGACGGTGCCGTCGGCAAGACCTGCCTCCTGATCTCCTACACGACCAACGCCTTCCCCGGCGAGTACATTCCTACGGTCTTCGACAACTACAGCGCCAACGTGATGGTCGATAACAAGGCCATCAACTTGGGGCTCTGGGACACGGCCGGTCAGGAGGACTACGATCGTCTCCGCCCGCTGTCTTACCCGCAGACCGACGTCTTCCTCATCTGCTTCTCCGTCACCTCGCCGCCGTCCTACGAAAACGCGCGCAACAAGTGGAACGCCGAGATCATGCACCACTGCCCGACCGCGCCCAAGCTGCTCATCGGCACCAAGACCGACCTGCGCAGCGATGCCGATACGATCACGCGGCTGGCCGACAAGCACATGCAGCCCATCCAGGCGGAGCAGGGCGAGCGGCTGGCCAAGGAGATCGGCGCCCACAAGTACGTAGAGTGCTCGGCCCGTACGCAGCAGGGCCTGAAGAACGTCTTCGACGAGGCCATCCGGGTCGTGCTCAACCCGCCTGTCCTCAAGAAGGAGAACAAGAAGGGGAAGTGCTCTCTCTTCTAACCTTTCGCAAGCTCCCTCACTGTAAATAAGTATCATTGTTTAAAAAATGAAAAAAGTCACAACATTCACGGCCATGTTTCTCTCTGCCGGCCACTAGCACCGGCACCGAGCCCTCCTCCCCCGCCAGACCGGCGTCGGGAACACCCGACACAATACGCATGTCCCCACCGGGTTGATGGTCTTGTCCTGACAACACACAGTTGACAGTGAGATCTAGTGCTTTGTTCCTGTGGTGGTTGGGCTGCAGTCCAGCTCTTGCATATATGTCCCATTTGCACCTGCACAAGCACGCATGACATGTGTATTGATTGAGCTTATCTCAGTTGCAGTTGGTTTCGAGCTTATCTCAGTTGCAGTTGTTGTTGCACTGGAACCGCCGCAAGCTTGGCGGCCATCAAAGTGGGATGAAAAGGCGAGCGCCGATTCCAGAACAGTGTCCGCATAAAATACTTCCTTGCCAACTTCCGCTTCTGGTCCTTCGCTTTTGTCTTGGTTTCGATTTTGTTGTTTTTCGAACGATCTTCCATCAGCCCATCCATTCCATTCCATAATGACTACCAAGACCACCTTCGGTATTAACGAGCTTCTCAGCGCTGAGCGCGAGGCTCAGGTGATCATCACCCAGGCCAGGAAGGGTGCGTAATTATTTTAATTCTTCATTCCATCCGTCTCTTTGCCCGCTGGGCCTTCATCATGAGCGGAAGCCTTGGATGATGTTTGAACGACGGAGGGGTGAGCGAAGCCGGAGGGCCAATTAATGGAAATGAGCCGCAAACGCTGACATTAGACGTTAAATTATAGAGAAGGACGCCAAGCGCAAGCAGGCTGAGGCTGAGGCTGCCAAGGAGATCGCCGCCTACAAGGCCGAGAGGGAGGCTCACTACAGGAAGTACGAGCAGGAGGTACGACACTGCCCTTTGCCTGAATGCTGCGCTTTGAATTTAATCATTTGCTTACAATTTTAATCTCTCAAATCCCAGCACGGCACGTCGTCGACGGACTACAACAAGACGCTCGACGAGAAGACCGTGCGCGACATCCAGCAGGTGCAGCGTGATGCTAAGGAGAACGAAGACACCGTTGTGGAGCTCCTCCTCAAGTCTGTCAAGGACGTTCACATTGCCTAAACAAAGCTCGTATCTCCTCCCCCTCCCTCTGCCATCTGTCGAAAATTTCTGTTCAAAAATACATTCCATCCACGTAAATTTTCACTCCATTGCACGTTCATCACACGGTGGATGGCTGTGGATCGGTAATGGGGAGTGTTCTGTACAAAGTCGAGAGATGGACACTATCCAGCTCGCAGCGTGTGGCCTTGGCCCGAGAACGGCTGAGCTCGACCAGTCGCGACTTCAGTCAGACCACGCACCAACACGAGAAGGCCATCAAGCAGAGCGCGCAAGGGGAGCGTACCACGAAGCCTGCGGAAGACGTGTTGGTGTTGGTGTTGGTGGTCGGCGCGCCCTGTGTCTGTGTTGATGTGGCCGACGATGACGATGAAGCAGAGTCGCCGCCGCCCACCATGCCGCGCATCGACGTGAGGAAGCCCGCAAAGCCGGCGCCTACGCCCGACGAAGAAGACGCCGCAGCCGCCTGGTGGGTGGGCAGCGTCTCCTCTCCTCCGCCCACACCGAACTGCGTGTTGGTGATGTAGCCGTCCTTCATCACCAGCCTGTTTCCGTAGCGCACACATGAGCGTGTTCGTGAGTTACGAACGCCAGTTGGATGTGCAGACGATCGAGCGCCGGTCGCGTATCAGTGTACCACTGGAGATAGGACGAAGATTCGATCTTGTTGATCGTTTCCGAGGGCAGCTTGAACAGCTCTAGCTTGCCCCACACGTCTGTGTCGTGTGCGTGTCGACGCGAGGTCGTGTACTGTTAGTCAAGAGTAGCCGGCGCGGTGAGGCTGACTGTCGGGGGGAGGGGGCGTACGGAGGTAGGCGACTAGGATGCCGGTGAGGTGGCCCAGGAAGGACACCTCGGGCATGAGGAACTGGAAGAGCACCAGCAGCACCCAGGGGTACCATTGCGCCGGCACCGACACGAACCCGAACAGACTGAACGACACACCGCACACACGCAACACGACACGCACGACACGACAAGACACGACACACGTCAGTGAACACGCACGCTGAAGCGTGTGGGTGGACGGGTGAAGGAGGAGGGGACCTCATGTTGTGCGACTGGTGCAGGTGGGAGCGCAGGACGAGGAAGGAGAAGAGGACGGACGAGAGGCCGATCGTGCACTGGTTCCAGGCGTCCGGGTAGGCGCCGGTCTTGTAGAGGACGAGCGAGAGGAAGGTGTTCATGAGCGACGACACCACCTGGAAGAGGACCACCAGGTAGCTGAAGGTGAACGAGCCCATCGCCCGCTCGAGCGATGGCGCCAAGGCCTGACGCACCCCCAGGCCCCTAGGGTCAGTATATACATGCGTGCAACGCTGGCGTGTGTCGTGCCGTGTTGTGTGTGTGCGGTGCGCACCTGGAAGGCAAGCATGTTCATTACGACGTGGAGGAAACCCACATGGAAGAAGCCCGCGGTCAACAGCCTGTAGACTACACAAACCAAAATCGAGTAAACAGATCAACATCTTATGCAAGAGCGGATGATGGAATAAGCTTCATCTTTAAAGCGGAGTGGAGACACGAGAGCATGACTCACCTTGGAACTGTTCGATGACGTTCGGCGGGAAGATGCAAACGGAGAAGTCATTCTGGCCAAAGATGAGGCCTACGATGTAAATGCCGCAACACAAGGCGGTGATGCTGCGGGTCGCCAGCGGCAGATGCAGGAGCCAATCCTGCAAACGCGTTCCCACGCTTGGGTGCGAGCCAGCACTCATCTTTGTTGTCTGTTATTTGATTTATTTTGTATTATTCTTTCATTTCTTCTTTATTATTTTTGCGAAGGGGCTCCTCTGCTTAGTGACGTGCCAGCCGTCGTTCCCACTCGCAGTCCTCTCTTCGACACTCTTCGTTGAACTCGCGCCACCTCCTCTCTGTAGCTTGGGCGGGCGATTCCCAAAGAAGAAGTTGTCCACTCCAGCCCAGAAGCGCTTGCTCAGCTTTCTGAGCCGGCTCTGAAGAATGTTGTGGCAAAGGGGCAACGCGCGGCGGGTCGCACGGGTTAGTCTTGGCCTTGGTGGCGCTCATCGTTGTGTTGGTGTTGGTGTTGGTGTTGGTGTTGGTGTTGGTGTTGGTGTTTTTGTGACTACACACTGGACTTTGAGCGCGGGAAAGCCAAACGGCACTCGTTTCGCAGGGAACAAAACAACGTTATGTGGCCATTCACTGGGCGACAGCGGGGGAGGCATCATGCTTGTGCTTTCGTAGTGAAAGTCGTGTCCTCAGCCGGCCTCCCTTCTTCTTCTTCTTCGTTTTCTTGTTCGAGTCCTCTTCCTGGCCACCACCTTGTTGATGCGTTTCCTCTTCACTGTCCTCATCACCTTCTTCTACGCTGCCGCTGCTGTCCTCTCGTGACGACGACGAGTGGCGTTGCTGTTGCTGCTCATGTTCGACGTTGTCAGCTTCTTCGTTGTCGTCGCGTGCGCCAAAGCTCAAGGAACTAAGCTTGGCCTTGATATCGGCGTAGAAGACCTCGTTTTCAGCGATGAGCTCCTCGTACTTGCTGCCCTCGATCTCCTGCGCGTGCTTCGCCATGGTTTACCCCGCGAGTCAAGGGAACACACACACAACAACACAACACACACACACACACACACACACAACGCACGCACGCACACGCTCACGACGGTACGGGGAGAAGGTGGAAAGGATATCGACCACATCTGGTAGGAGAGCACTTTGGTAGCCCAGTTGAGCAGGGTGTAGGGCATGTAGGCCAGCTTGGGGTCCACGTTGGTCATCATCACCAGCCTCGTCTGGTTCTCGCTGATCGGCTGAATCATCACTCTGAAGGCACGCATCAGCTCACCTGTGTCGCGCGCGCGTGCGGTCGTGTGTCGTGTCGTGTGCGGTCGTGTGCTAGCTTACCCAGTGAATTGTACGTCGGCGCGTACGTGGGACTTGACCGGAGGGATGAGGTGCGGCTCGATGTCACCCTCCCCGGCCGAACGAATCATGATCACTGCCCGATCCTCTTCCAAATTGTCCACGCCATAGCCGTACAGCAACTACCGGCAACACCCCACGTAAGCTGTGTGCGGTGTGTGCGGTGTGTGTGTGTGGCGGTAGCGTACGACGTCGCGCGAGGAGATGGGCCAGGGAAGGTGCGCCGAGAGGTACATCACCTTGCGGTATCGTGAGATCTGCTTCACCAGCCGCACCTCCTACAATACGTATTACATGTGGTATTTACCGATGAGCTGAAGAAGAAGAAGAAGAAGAAGAAGAAGAAGAAGAAGAGGGCAGGAGAGGACCTTGAGCAGTGGAATCCAGGAATCGTAGAGGGCGTGTTCGTTCATGATGGCCATCAGATTGAGCGCGGGGCTATCGACCACCCCTGCACGGTGACACAGAAACACATCGCTATGCGTCAGTGCTCGAGAGTGCGCATTGAACGCAGCTCTTTCGTTCGTACCCTGCATCTTGATCGAGTGCACCGGTGTGGACTTCTCGCCGCGGTAGAACACCTGCACGTTGCCGCCCTCGTGCTCGCCCACCAGCGTCCAGCCTACAACCAACCCAGCCGGCCACGTCAACGTGTGCGTCGCACATGTGTGTGCGCGTGTGCGTGTGTTTACCATCTTCGTTTCGCAGTTCGCGCATGAGCGCGCGGACCTCCTTCTTCTCCGTGGCGATGCGCTGGTGCTGCTCCCGGTTGGTCTCCATCTCGGCCTCGATCGCCTTCAGCTGCTCCAGCACCTCGGGCGGGTACGCGCCGCCCTGCGCGGCCGCGAGGTGGTGCTGCAGCGAGCTGTTCAGCTGCTTCACCACCCAGTAGGCCTGCCGCGAGCCACAAAACGTGGATTAGGAACCACAACAGGAGACGGCCGACAACGTTTGGGGGGAGGCTGAGTACGAGGAAGAGCTTGTCGTCTTGATGTTGGCTGCGGGCTTGGACGATGAGCGCCGGAAAAGATGCGATGAATTCATTCACATCATCAGAGATCGCGGCATCTTCTTTGCTCTTCCTTTGGCTCCTTTCCATCTTGTTCTTCGTGTGATTGTTCAACTGGCCGGTTTACCCAAGATCATCTAAACAAATCCAAAAATAAATAGGACATTTATCTGATATCAATAATTAGATAAAAACAACATGCCCTCCTCCATTCGAAATCGCACGGAATTTGCACTGTCGACACTGCGTGACGCAGTGGCACACGAACGACCTCACACAAGTGACATCATCATGGCCAGACCACCACGAACTTTATCAAATCAAGCAATTGAGCTGCAAGCCATCAGTTGATCAAGTTGTGGCCTATTTGTGATGCCACCCACCCAACATACACTTTGAGCCACTCACCTTCTGCACTGTCAGTCACCAAGTTGGTGTGATTTGTAACCTCAACAAAGTAGTGCAAGGCATGGTGATCATCAACACAACTATCATACAGGGCTTCTGGGCATCTGGACAACTTACTGCCACATCATGCTAAACTCATTGACATAGATGCCCTCCGATTGGGAGGAGGAAGCACAACATGGACCTCTACTCACCCAATGGGACGCGGGCTTTTAATCACATGAAGAGGCGCATCATGATGCCGTCGTAGTAGAGATCGTCGCTGATCTTGGTGTCCTTGTGGAGCACGGCCACCTGCTCGAACCCCACCTTGCGGTAGAGGCTGATCGCCGGCCTGTTGTCCTCGCGCACCATCAGGTACACGATCTCGATGCCCTGATGCCCGACGCTGCTCGCCTCGGCCTTGAGCTGGAGCGCGCGGTTCTCGGAGCGGACCCGCTCCAGGGTGAGCTGCAGCAGTTGGGTGCCCAGGCCTTGGCCTTGCGCGCCGGGAGCAAGACCCATCGTGAGATCTGGACATTTCCATCAGCTTCAGTGAGTGGACACGACACGACACGACACGACGCACGAACGCACGCACGCACCTGCGGTGTGTCCCTGGCGCGGCACCTTGGAGGGTGAGAGCCGCACGAAACCGACCAACCTCAGTTCCTGGCC